CTTCGGGAGGTCGTTGCTGTTATCTGATCCTCGCAGGCGCTTTGACGCGTTTGGTTACTGCTCGTCTCCATAATAGCGTGTCAGGCTGATGCGTATCAGTGCTGTCAGCTGAGGAAAGGTGGATCCTCCACTACAAGCCCACACCTCTCATCCTCCTGCTGTCATGCGTGCAGCACAGCAGCTCCATCCACCTCCACCTCTCTGACTGCTGCTGCGGCCGACGGCGACTCTCGCACCCGCGTCCACGCTGGAAAACTGAGGCTGAGTCCGACGCAATGAACGGTTATGGGTCTCCGTACCTCTACATGGGGGCTCCGGTGTCACAGCCTCGGGCCCCCCTCCAGAGGACCCCCAAGTGCGCGCGCTGCCGGAACCACGGCGTGCTGTCTTGGCTCAAGGGTCACAAGCGCTACTGCCGGTTCAAAGACTGCACCTGCGAGAAGTGCATCCTCATCATCGAGCGGCAGCGCGTCATGGCGGCGCAGGTGGCGCTCCGGAGGCAGCAGGCGAACGAGAGCCTGGAGAGCCTCATCCCGGAGTCCCTCAGAGTGCTGCCCGGCATCGGCTTAGCTGGGGCCGGCGAGGGGAATCAGCCAGCCCCGCCGAGGACCGAGGAGCTGGAGCTGAGGTGGAGCAGCACGGAGCCGGGGCAGCCCGGAGCACCGCTGTGCTCAGGTAGGAGAGCGGGGGGGAGAGCAGGGGGGAGATATTTGACTCTCTAAACAATTATTGTTTGTCTGGGATGAAGAAAAAAAACCCTCCAAATTATGGGATGTTTTTTTAATAAGAATATTTTTAAAGGCCTAAAACTCACAGTATAAACATCGTGACTTTATTATTTAAAACCGTTTTCAGGTCAAACAAAAACGGATGTTAAACAATATAAAAGCTGAAATGATCGTTGATAATGACACATTTAGCTGAAGTGATCGATACACATCACTCCGATTTCTGTGAAATAATCACGTGAATACGAGGTTTCAGTTTGAGAGTCAGGAAACAGATGAAGATGTTTCAGGAAAGAGACGTTTAATAAAACTGGAGCGAAATAAAACAGAGACGTGTTGACATTTTTAACAATACATTTAAAACAATATGAATTAATTCAGTTTTTAACATTTGTTTAAATAATGATGTAGATATAATTATTACTGACGTTTTTTCTGCTGCTGAACTTTTAATAATGTTTTTCTATTTCACGCAGAAAATTTTATTTTCTATATAAATATAGAAACGAAATAATTTATATAAATAAAATGTGCTTAGTTCTCGCTGACCTGCGTGGAAATTATTTCTGTGAGAACCATTAAAGAATAATTACTTTCCATCCACCTGCCCGAATCACCTTTATTGCTCCTGACACTTTAAGCACAGATTCGGACACGCGCGCTTTCATTTCCCGCGTGACTGTAAAAGATTACAGTAATCAGCGGCGGACAGGCCCGATCGAATATAATCGCCATATTTCTCACAGGAGGTCAGCTCCGGATGAAATGTTGCCGAGCAACAGGCGATGTGTTTGCAAACTGCGGTCAAAGATCCCACGGCGCGCGCACTCAGCACTCTGCGTTAACAGCTTCTGTGAGGAGGCTCAGATAAATCCTCACACGTCTGCGTGTAGCGGACAAGTCGTGACACGCGATTAATGGCATGTAGCTTTTCCTCGTGAGGAGCGGAGGTGTTTGCACTGTGAGGCGGGGTGAGGAGTTCGCTCTAACCGCCTGTGGGCTCACAGGTTTTGGGGTGAGCTGAAAGTTTTGTGTGGATGCTGACACTCTTTCGTGATTTTGTGCTTACGTTGTGAATCTCTGACCCGCAGAGCCCACGGAGGACGGCGCAGACGATGTTTCAGCAGGAGAGAACGGAGAGAGCTCCAGCGAGAAGGAGCAGGACGCGGTCAGCTCACCGGAGGCCTCCAAACCGAACTGCTACACCCCCGAGTCTCCGGGGACCCCCTCCCTGCCAGAGGAGAGCCGCTACGGCCTCCCTAAAGCCGGGAGCGCCGAGAAGGAGGCCAAAGCCGAGAGTCCGCAGAAGTATCCGGCCAGCCCCGCGGAGCAGGGCGTGCTGATCGAGGGCCTCGGCGGCTCAATCACGCTGCCCCTCAGCCTCCGGGCCAACCGGCCCCCGCTCGAGGTGCTCAAGAAGATCTTCCCCGCCCACAAGCCTCCGGTCCTGGAGCTCATCCTGCGGGGCTGTGGGGGCGACCTGGTGGGGGCCATCGAGGTGCTGCTGTCTAGTCGGAATCCTGACGCCAGCGCGCCACCGCACGCGGACGCGCACGCGGACGCGCTGGTGCTGCCCTCCAACGGACACCTGTTCGAGCCCGGCCTGGGCTCCTACCACCCGGCGTCCTCCTCCGCCAAGTGGTCCGTGGGCTCCGCCTTCCGGGTCCCGGACTCGCTGCGCTTCACCTCCGACTCCGCCGCGGGGGTGGTGTCCACGGGCGCGCTGGGGGTCCCCCTGCAGCACCCGTCCTTCCCGCAGCCCACGCGCTACCCGCTTATGCTGCGCAGCTCTCTGACGCGCAGCCACGCGGGCCCCTTCGTGCACAACGACGTGACTCTGTGGAACTCCGTGGCCCTGCAGCAGCAGTATCAGCTTCGCTCCGCGGCGCAGTACGTGTCCCCGTTCCCCCCTGGCGCCCCCGGCGGGCCCGGGTTGTTCCGAGGCTCAACCCTCCTCCCCTCCAGGCCCTCCGAGGAGCCGCGCGTGGGCATCCAGGAGGAGGGGTGCCCGCTGGGGCCCAAGCCGGGCCTCTACTCCCCGGATGAGGAGTACGAGGAGCGCTCTGATTCCGCAGACTCCCGCATCCTGAACTCCTCCAGCTGAACCGGAGACTGAGGAACATGTGTCACCGTGACAGGACGTGTGCGTGGACGGCGTTGACTGTCCTGTCTGAGCTGAGCCGTGGGAGCAATCACTCCGATGAACCTCAAACATCAGCCTCGCGCTTCCCACACTGGACTCGACCAAAGCGGGTGAATGTAACAGACTCATTATTCTGAAAGCGTCTCAGCTGTTTCCTGTAAGCATGTGTAGTACTGTGAAATCTGCCGTGTCCGGATCACGGCTGCATGTCGAGTAATGCCAAATAAATGTGAGTAGTCCAAACGGATAACGGCTGTTTTCTTGCGTGTCGGCCACACACACTCAGTCACGATTACACGAGACTATGTCTGCCCACAGTCCGGCTTCACATCCACATAAAACACGCGTGACACCAAAGGATAATAATAGAGGCAAAATATGGAAGCGTTCCGATAATGATGTTGTTTTATGGAGCAGCAGTAATAATAAAACCGTAATTTAATCAGGAGTGGAAACATTTAATATTTAATAAGTGTGCTGTGGGCCTGATCTCTGTCACCCGTGGCACCGTCAGCTCACTCCTCACAGACACGTGATGTTGTTTTTGTATGAAATGTTTTCACATAAAGCCGAACAGAAAGATCTGAAATCAGCTTTAAAAAATCTGATTTTCCTTTAATTTTTTAAAGAAAATAATAAATAATCTCAGTTTGTTTCGATGCATCAAAACACGAGATTATAAATATAATATTAATGTTATTTAAAATGATTAAAACCTCGTGAAACCCACTGTTTAGATATTTGGTGTCATATCGAAGATGTTTCTGTAAAAGTGAAAAACAAACACTGATCGTCATCAGACAGTGACGTCACTCAGGCTGTCAGTGCTTTAAAAACCTCAAACACAATAATAAGAGCACGTGTCTCCCTCAGTGCTCGTGTATTTAAACCTGTGACGTGTTGATGATCTGCGCAGCTGCAGACCAATCACATATTCCAGCTTTTAAACTTCCGCTTGTTCAGACGCTCCAAAGGTGACAAATTCCAACTAAGAACCAGGTAAGACGAAACATCCGGATTAAGCAGCTGCAGCGGATTAAAATAAACACACGTGACTTTATAGTTACAACAGAGAAGCGACAGTGCTGTGAATAATCTGTGGATCAAAATTATCCACGCGCGTGAGGGGGAAAATTGTTTTTACTCACAGAAATACAGAAATGAATATCCGCTCGTCCACGTTTCCTTCGCTCAGCGCGCGGCCCCTCGCTTTAAACCTGTCACGTGCTGCCATCTAGTGGTGTCCTTTGCACATAAACCACAAACAGGCGCCGGAGACTCGTGACGTGGATAATGACGATTTTCAAAACAGTAAGTGTAACGAAGACGAGTGACGTGAGAAATAAAAGCCACAGAATACCCGACAGTGGGCAGGAAAGAGGAAGGACACGCCCGGAAGCTGAACCCCTGCCTTGCTCATGGACAGCTCGGCAACTGTTTCTGCGCTTTGTGACAGCGCAGTGATATTTCCTACTGCACTACAGTCACCTGACAGCTGTGTTAACATGTGGATGCAAAACACGAGAGAAGCGTCAGAGTGATCTTAGACACGTAGAAAGACACGTGAAACCAAATTATCAATAAAATAATCTGTTTGTCTGTTTGTCTGTTATTTTGGACATTTTTGGGGGATATTTTCAAGACTAAAATCTTATTATTGAGTGGTTTAAGAATCCGATTCATTGACCAATATTATTATTTTGTCTTTCAGACTCATGAAACAAACAGATTTCCTAACATTCATGTGCAGTCACATATTTATGAGGCTTTGCTGACATAATATAATGATGCCATTTAAAAATAATCT